GCCACTGCACGCCAGTCTGGACGACAGAGTGAGACTCCAACTCAAAAAAAAAAATTAATAAAGTACGTGTTTCTTCTGGGATTTTTTTTTTTTAACTTAAATCTTTGCTAGATCTGGAATCTGTCTTAGAGTTATGGAGTAGAAGTCTAACTTTTTTTTTTTTTGGCAAGCTTAGTCTGATATCATAACTTTATTTTTTTCCCAGAAGATTGCACAGTTGTCTCAATGAAGTCCCTTTTTAAAAAAATACACAAGCAATGGCTCATGTCTGTAATCCCAGTACTTTGGGAGATGGAGTGGAGAGGATTGCCTGAGCCCAGGGATTCAAGAACAGCCTGGACAACTTGGCAAGCCTTCATCTCAACAATAAATTAGAAAATTAGCCAGGCATGGTGGCGCATGCCTGTAGTCACAGCTACTTGGAAGGCAGAAGGATCACCTGAGCCCAGAAGGCTGAGGCTGCAGTAGCCATAAGTGTGCCACTACACTCCAACCTGGGCAACACAGTGAGATTTCAACCAAAAATAAAATTAATGCAATGTTATAAATATCACTGCTATATTTATAGTGACCAAAATGACAGAGTTTGTGTGGTTTTCTTTTACTTGGCCAGCAGATATTAAATGTCATGTATCAGGCACAAAAATCTGTTGCAGATGCCAGCAGCAATTGAGCCATGAAGCCCCTCATGTCCTGTTGGGTCTGAGCAGCCACTGATAATAACATGATTTGCCGTAGGTTGGAAGGAGAACTAACCCGAGAGCTGTGGGCACAGGAGGGGCCAACTCATCCTGACAGCAGTCTTAGGAGAGCTCTGTAAAGAAGAGTGAGCACTTGAGCAGGGCCTGCAGGCTGTCCAGCTGCATCTTCCAGGCCTGGAGGAACATTCCAGGCCAGGAAACACAGGCATGGAGGCTTACAGTGTCCACTTTAATTTGACCAAGCATGGCCTGCAAAGCAAGAGGTGGAGTTGGGTAGGCAGAAGGGTTGATGCGAAGGGTCTCAAGTTCTGCTGGGGTGGGACTCACCCGCCAGAAGGTCTCAGGCCTGATCATGGGTCAGAAGGACCTGGGGAGCTCAACCTGGGCATTTGCATTTTGTAAAGTATCCCAGGGCAGCCCAGTCTCAGCGAAGGTAGAGGTACTCTCAACCCTAGGGGGCCAACAGCTGGTCCACAGGAGAGGCCACAACAACTCTTCTCCTCTCCAGGTGAGTTCACATGCAGGTGGAAGAGCCAACCCTGGGAGAGGGCCAGACAGCCACCCAACCTGGCCCATTAGTCCAGGTCCATGGGGTCCCAGCATGTTCCTAGCAGGGATTTAGGGACAAATTGATGTGAGACCCGTGGGGCCACATCAGCTTCCCCCAGGTAAAGCAAGATTCCCAGGGTCCTTTCTGAGCCATGTCACTTGACCTGGGCAGTTATTTGTATGTAAAACGCTTCGAGTTCCCCTAACTTCTTGTTCTTGCCTCAGGTTTTGTTTGTTGAAACGAGTCTCCTTGTTAGCAGTGTAAGTTCTGCTGAGGCATGGCAATTTCCTAGATGTCTTTTCCTCCCTTAGGAGTCAGCATTGACAGCAGTGTTAGCTGTGGAGTGCGGTTTCTGCAGTTGTTTGTTGCCATTGCCCTGAAACTGGAGTGTGAAAGGCTGAGACAAGATGAAGACCGTGCTCATGGTTGCAGAAAAGCCGTCCCTGGCACAGTCCATTGCCAAGATCCTCTCCCGAGGTGGGAAAGACCAGCCCTGAGCTTGCTTGCTTCTTGCTTTGCTCTGTAATCATGGCTATTTATGCCTCTCAGGACATTTCTTTCTCCTGAGTCTAGTTCAGGTCCCCAGTATGATTATCGCTGTGGGGTGATTTGCTTCCACACTTCGTATGTGCCAGGCCCCGGCTCCCAAAAGAATAAGGCACAGTGAAGCAGAAGGTGCAGTCTTCATCAGAGTGCTATGTCAGTCAGAGAATCAGTTACAAGCTGCAGAAACCAGCCTGGAAGGAGGAAGGCACAGCCAGAACCCCACCCCAGTGAGAGCCTCACGAGGCCATGCCCTGAGCACATCACCCCAGGTGCTTGCTACTGCCTTCTGGACCTCACGTTACTCATGAGTAGCCAGTGGGCCGAGTCTGGACCACAACACCCCTGAGACACCAGAAAGCTGGAAAAAGAATGTCTGCCCCTTGCCCCCAACTCTGGCACTGGAAGTTGGTGGGGTGTTGAGTACCCAGAAATGGCAGGCATCAACTTGACCTCCCCTTGGTCCAGCGGCTGGGGGAGGAAGACACCCTAGTTCAGCCCAGAAAGTGAGGTTCACAGGGGAGAGGAGACCTGAGAAGACCAGTGCCAGAGGCTGAGGAAGTATGACTGGGGGCTGTCAATGTAAAGAATGAGAGGACACTGTGGGATTTGATCAGTAAGAGGTCCCTAGGGGTAAAGTTTTAATGAGGCGAGGCAGAAATGGAATTGAAGGATGAAAACAAACTCAGGGAAAGAGTCCACGAGCATCTGCTACTGGCTCCCAGTGCCCCAGGGCCCCGCGTTGCCAGGTTGTTCATGGGTGCAGTTTTTTCCTGAGCATCATTCAGCCTCTCAGTATCCAACTACCCATGGCGGCCTGAGAAGTTTTGCACTGACCACTCTGTGGAAGGAGGATTCTGGCCTTCCAAGAGGCGACATCCAATCCTGGGAGCTCTGCATCATCTGCAGCCAGGCTGGAGCAGTCACCACTGTGCCTCTCCTCCCCAGGGAACATGTCCTCACACAAAGGACTGAACGGGGCCTGCTCTGTCCATGAGTACACCGGAACCTTCGCTGGCCAGCCGGTGCACTTCAAGATGACGTCCGTCTGTGGCCATGTGATGACACTGGATTTCCTGGGTAAGCCCCCACCCCACCCTGCCAAGGAGAGTCCTGCATGGCACTGCCCAGAGTCCAGCTGGAACCAGGGGGTGCCTCTTGGTATAGAAGTTTGTCCAGAATCCAAAAGCCAAGAGGCCAGCAGACTGTGGAGTAGTGACTGAGGGTCCCTGGGTGAGGTGCCCAGAACTAGGCTCTGGAATTAGTATCCCCAGGTCCCCATCATAGTGGCACACCCTAGTCACTGCATTCCCTATGCACCTTCCTGTGCAGACAAAGGTCAGCACCCGACTCAGGAGGAGCCTGGTCCAGTCAGGCATTGAAGAGAAAGCTGCCACTCCTGCTGAGCTGACTGTTGTCCAGCAGTCATTTGGTGGCTGTCACTGCCTTCCTCCTAGCATTATTATCTATTGCCTTGGGAGGACTGCATTTGTGACCCCCTGCGTCTAGAGGTAGGGCTGTGTGCTTCCTTGAGGAGCATCCAACCCGGGCTCTTCCCCATTCTCTGCAGTGACTGGACCACTGGAAGTTTCTATCTGTCATATATGAAGTGGGTCTTATGGCAGTGACATCTACTTCCCCAGATTGTGGGGATTCAGTGTGCCAGTGAAGGCAGAGCACTTCGCACAGGACCTGGCACACAGCAAGGTCTCAGGCATTTTTGCTGCTCAGCAATGACAGTGATGATAACAATGGCAACTGAGTTATTTGGCCGAGCATTTGGACCCAAGCTTTATCTCCAGCTAGCAGGTGGGGAGTCAGGATATGAGTTTGGTTCTGTCTGACCCCATTCTTCTAGACTCAGGAAATGGGGCCTAAAAGACCAGAGGGCCAGGCATGCAGGAGTCCTTAGTAGAGAAGTAGGTAGGTGTGTCAGACATGAGGCTCCAAGAGATAGGTCCTCTACTGGGACCAACTAAGCATATATTGTGTGTTCGTCAGGTGCTGAGTGGAGGGAGAGGGTCATAGAAGGAAGGGCCGATGACAGCACCAGTAGTGGGGTCAGGTGTGCTAGCGCAAGAAGCCATCCAGGTTCTGTGTGGCCAACCATGGGGAAAGTCCCAGAAGTGAGGCCAGAGGGTGGCTGGAGTATAGCGTCAGCTCAGCAGCCCAGAGAAAAGGGTAGGTGGGGGTTATCCAGAGGCCTAGCCTCATACCCAACTTTGCCTCTGATTGTCATGGTAAACCTGGGCAAACCATTCTCCAAGTCCTTCTTTCCTCACTTGTGCAATGAGACTGCCATCCTCCTGGGTGCAGCCCCTGGGAGCTGTGCAGTATGACTCAGTGTCACTGCAACTGTGTTTGTAGGAAAGTATAACAAGTGGGACAAGGTGGACCCTGCAGAGCTGTTCAGCCAAGCTCCGACGGAGAAAAAGGAAGCGAACCCCAAGCTGACCATGGTGAAGTTCCTGCAGGTGCGTGGGACAGTCTGGGCGTGAGCAACACTGGAACCTGCACAATGGGCGGCTACAGACTCCCTGCCCACCATCCATGGAATCCTCATCCCCATCTTGGACGGGGCCTTCCAGCCTTTTCTGTGAGCGCCCCCTGCTGACCCATGAGGCATCATTAGACCTGGCCACAATACAGTTGGCCACCCTGGGCACTGCGTCACTCATCCTGCAGAGCAGGCTTTCTGCCATGCACATTATGGAAAATTGGAAAATATGGATAAGTGGAAAGAAGAAAAATTACTCATAATCACACTATCCAAGACTACCACTTGTTAACATTTAGGGTTATTTCATTTTAACCCCTCTGTGCGGTTTTTGGGGCTAAGACTATATTGAAATTACACTTGTTTTGGTACAAAAAATGGTAGTTCAAAGCTAACTTCTTTTCTGATGGCTGAGCCAGCTTCCTCACAGCCAGCTTCTCGCCCCTCTCCCCAGATACCTATCCTCCCAGCTAAGGCTTAGGCACTTGCACCCAGGCCCTTCTCCTGTCCAGGGTAGGGATGCTGGGGTGGGTGTGGGCGGACAGGGCCAGGCCTACGGCAAGTGTGTGTGACCATGTGCCATATGGCAGGTGGAGGGCAGAGGCTGTGACTACATCGTGCTGTGGCTGGACTGTGACAAGGAAGGGGAGAACATCTGCTTTGAGGTGAGCATGGAGCCCCTTTGTCTTCACTTTTGGCCTTTCTGCCACCAGCCCCGAACTGATGCTTGCAATCATACCATTCCTGGGACCAGAGAAGGGAATAAACTATACTGGTTTAAAAACACCTTCGCCCCTTTTATTTTGAAGTTCTGTGGATGCTTTCAAATGCATAGGGCTCCACTGAGGGTGCTCAAGTATAATTTGCTTGCTGGGGCCACATGGTGGGAGTGAAGTAGAAAGGGCAGAATCCTCTCGGTGGAGGCTAGTTAGTTTCCAGCACCCTGGGCAAGCATGTCGCCTCTCAGTGACCTTCACTTAACGTTGGTGGACACCCAGCCTCGGCACTGTACTTCTTTCACGGGCCTCGTTCTCTCACCTCCCACCTTCCTGTCTCCTCTGCCTCGCCCAGAATGCCTCTCACCTCCCAGCTGCCCCGGGAACCCTCCCTTCAGGGAGGCAGTTGGCAGCTCCCTGTGCACACCTCATGTCCTGCGCTTACCTCTGCCATGGTGCCCTCACAGTGGTCACAATTGCTGGTCTTACCTGGTGCCCCCAGGCCATGGCTCCCTATGGGTCACCCCCATGCCTCAGGAGATGGGTGCAGTGAGACGGGAGCTGGAGCTCCCAGCATTGCCCTGTAGCACCTCAGCAAGTCTGGTCCTGCCCATCCCTCTCTCCTCCCCTCCTTATAGGGCTGCTCCTCCCCGGCCTTTGCATCTGGGGGTACAGAATGGTGGCAGCTCATGGGGCTTTCTCCCTTCAGAAATGAAGCCACTTCCCCTGTAAGGAAGCTGCATGGCCAGGCTCCGGCGGTGCCCCCTCCCCCTGCACAGCCTTCTTAGTGAGTCTTGGCTCCAGGAACCCCCACTGCGCTTAGCCCAACTTGCCCCCACCTGCAAGCTGGGGCCACTTGTGGCCTTCCTACTCTTGCCCATTTCCTTTCCTTTTCATTCCTTTGTCCTTCCTTGTCTTTCTCCAGTCTCTTAAAAGTTCCACCTACCCCTCCAAGCACTGCCCCCTCCTGGGAGGGGAGGTGGGTCACATGGGATGGATTTAAGGACTGTGAAGTCCCCTACATGCTTGGCAGTAGTGTTTTCCTCCTTTGGTGGGATGAGAGCAGAGGATGAGAAGACAATGGCAAGAAGGGGCTATGTGAACAAGTTTCTATGCAGGAGAAAAGGAAGCCATGTGGCAGGGTGTCATGGGGTGTCTAAGGCTCTGGAAAAGCAGAGAGGTGGCAGGGGTCTGGCAGGGCCAGGTGGGAGGTCATACAGATACACAGGTTCTGCTCTGGAGGGACCTGGCCTTCACGGTGGGGTATGGGGTGGGCGGCAGAGATCTGGGAGGTGGGCCACAGCCAGCCACCCTCCTCCAGGTCCTCGATGCTGTTCTGCCCGTTATGAACAAGGCCCATGGCAGTGAGAAGACTATCTTCCGGGCCAGATTCAGCTCCATTACAGACACGGACATCTGCAATGCCATGTCCCACCTGGGCGAGCCTGATCACAATGAGGCTCTCTCAGTGGATGCCCGTCAGGAACTGGACCTGCGCATTGGTTGTGCATTCACCAGGTACTGGTCATGTGCATGAGCAAGCCTGCATGCCTCAGCCAGAGCCCTGCCTTTGCTAGCCCCCACCTACAGCTCCTGGGCTTCTCACAGCCCAGCTGAGCACCAGGAAGCTTACCATTTTAAAACCCCTGAAGAAAACCATGTGTTTAGCTGATGGAGCCAGCCCCCACAGGCCACTGCTTGATATGTAGTGTGTGCATGCACTCTGGGGTCCCAGGGAAAATGCAGTGAGTAGAATAGAATAGGAGGTTCCCTGACCTGAGATTGTGGGAACCTCATCTTATCTCTCCCTTTCCCTGTCACCATGTGCACACACAAATCCCCCTTGAAGGCCATGCATGCTCTGCCTCTTTTGCTGGTATGCAGGGGCTGCCACCTCGTGTCCTCTCCTACACACACCACCTAGCTCCTGGCTGAACTCACACGGTGTTTCACCATAGCATTTTGAGTGAATGTGTGACCAAAGTATCTTTCTCCTTCCCCCTCCCCCCCCACTCCCTCCAGGTTTCAGACCAAGTATTTCCAGGGTAAATACGGTGATTTAGACAGCTCTCTCATCTCCTTTGGGCCATGTCAGACACCTACCCTGGGCTTCTGCGTGGAGAGACATGATAAAATCCAGTCCTTCAAACCGGAAACCTACTGGGTGCTGCAGGCCAAGGTTCCTTGACCTTCTCTGTTCATGCTGGGGCTTTCCAGGGTGAGGTGTGGGTGCCAAGCCTTCCATCATTGCCAGCCTACACACCCCAGGCTGAGATAGAATGGTGGATGGCCATACTGGAGGGTGGTCTGTGGTGCCCAGGGAAGGGGACATCCAGCCTTCATAGAGAAGTGGAATGAGGCTGGGTCTAGATTCACTGAATTTGCATATGTAGGAGCAAGGTCAGCTTTGGCAGTGCAGGATGAGGTCACCCCACAAGAGCCAGTAGCTATAGTGGTAAGGTCAAAATACTGGATGGAGGCCACTGACTTTCAAATTTTAAAAGTTCCTAGAACCCTTTTTTCTTTGTCTTTTCTAAATTTTATTTTATTTTAAAGTTGTGGAGAACAAGTCAGAATAGCATACATAAGTGGTTTAGGTACAGGGGAAGTTTTGGATCTTTCATTGGACCTCACTTCACCTGGATTAGGATCCACTGACAAGGCATGTAGAACTTTTTTTCAAATAAAAGTCTCCACGAAAGCTCACTATAAGATTTTAAACAATGCAAAGCTGCTCTGATTGACACTGGGGAACCCCTGGGTGTCATGCCTTGTGCTGGCCAGGCATTGGAGGTGGGCAGGGATGGTGTGAGAGCAGGGGCTCAGATGCTTCTTAAGGACACAACAGTCTCAGCTTCTGGCCACCCTCCTGAGACCTGCCTGGCTTTGGGTAGGGGTGGACAGGGCTGGGTGTCAACTTTTGTGTGTGCACATCGGAATAGGTGCAGCTTGAGACGTGAGCTGAGAACATTTTGCTCCCAAAGACCAGTTTTATCTGTCCTGGTTCCCTTTCCTGGTGATGGGATCACCTGGACATTTTTTCCTTGTGTTCACCCTTGATCTCTCTTCCTGCAGGTTAACACTGATAAAGACAAATCTCTCCTTTTGGACTGGGACCGTGTAAGGGTGTTTGACCGGGAGATCGCACAGATGTTTCTAAACATGACCAAGCTGGAGAAGGAAGCTCAGGTGCGCCTGCTCCACCCACATCTAGCATACTGGCCTTGAGCTGGGGGGCCTTGGATGCCTCTGGCTGGAAGGATAGCTTGTGATCCGGGGCCTTGTCTTCTCCCTCCTTCTGAAATACTGACATCTTTTTGGAAAGAGGAATGGTTACTCACCCATATGTTCCTACTAAGATATTTCTGCCCAGCACAGTAGCTGTTCACGCCTGCAGCCTTGTCAGTCCCTCCCACTCACCCCCTTCCACGGAACCCAGTAGGCATTACCTCCATTTGGCATAACTTCATTTCACACAGAGATCTCTAAAGCTAACAACCATAGGAGGACCTCTGTGCACACTGATGAACTTGCCCACAGTCACACAGCTAGCAGGGGACAGTTCTGGGATCCCCAGCTTCATTCAGCTTTCATGCCTTTGTGGTGTTGTGTTTCTTACTTGGGCTTTTTATGAATTGGAAGGACATGCTGCTTGGCTTTTAGGAAGAAAGAGATGTGCCCTGGCAAGGGGACACTTTCACAGGGTGAGAACATATCTGCGGCCACCAAACAAATGTCCTGCAGCCATGACAGCTAGCAGAGTCATCAAGGTGCAACCTGGCCTCCTCCTTGTCCTTCTCCAGCCTTCCTTGAGTGGCCTCTTGCCCCCCATGCAGTTGTCTGAGGCTTCTGGAATCTCTTAGGCTGCTCCATGCTGTTAGTATTGGTAACATTCCTTCAGACACCATCTCCAGCTCCAGACCTCTCCCCTAGGGGGTCCTGGCCTCCACTGCTACACATACATAGTTGGCCTCAGCCACAGCATCCACGTTTTTTGGGCTGGAATCCTGGGGTCAGCAGGGACAGGGGCCTGGGTTGTGTTGTTTCTAGTGACAAGTGTTCACAGAGGTGTAGAGCATAGAGCTTCCCACCAACACAGCCCACAGACACTCCAGTCAATCTGCACAGTGTTCACAGAAACCTCAACATGGTTACAACACTTAAAAATCGTGGGAGTTCACATAAAAACCCTGCCTTCCAGATTCTCTTGAAAAATCTAAGGATATGGCAGTCCCAGCAGGCCCAGGCAGCAGCTCCTGTGCAGCAAGGAGTGAGCACCACCCGAAACATCCTTAGAGCCTGGCTGACACCAGCTTATAGGATTTGCACCTGTAGCCCTTTCCCCTGATTCCTCCTCATTCCTTCAGGTTTTCTCTTTCCCTAGAAAATTATCTAGAAAAGGATTTTTATTCTTTCTCCTGGTCCTGAGTAAATGAATCTCTAGATTGTTGGGAAGAGTAAAATGGAGAAGCAGGGAGACCAGATGAATGAAGCCAGACCCTTCAACCACACATCTCAATTCCCTCCATGGGAGCATTCCCCAGGGTCACTGAGTCAGTCCCGTCTTCCAGGTGGAGGCCACAAGCAGGAAAGAAAAGGCCAAGCAGAGGCCCCTGGCCCTGAACACCGTGGAGATGCTGCGTGTGGCCAGCTCGTCTCTGGGTACGTTCAGGCCCGTGCCGCAAGCACCCAGGGGTGCAGGTGTTGTCTGAGGCTCAGAGGGGTTTGAGCCTCATGAGGATTTCATGTCTCCTTAGTTCCAGGGTAGAAACAAGCACAACTGAATGGGAGGGAGGACCCACTTCATAGGGTTGTTTTACTCAACAGCTTCTCTGGATTTATGTGGGAGACCCAAATCAGTTAATGGGACTCAGTATCTGAGCATCTGTTGCCAGAATGGACCATGTGGAAGGCCACCCTCAAGGCAGGGCCCTCGTGTCCTGGCTCAGTAGAGGCCCCTTGTGGCATCAACCTCTGGAGCTCCAGCTTCGCAGCCAAACCTGGGCCCAAATCCCAGCTCAGCTACTTCCTTCCTTGTCCTGAGCCTCATCTTCCTCATGGCAAAACAGGGCAACAATATGACCTACCTCTTTAGGTTCTGTACAGATTAAATGTAGTGAAACAACACATTTTAGTAATCGCAATGATAATGTTGGTCCCTACCTGAGAAGATCATCCTGATGTCAGAGTCCCCAAGCAGATTTCTCTGGTGCAGGGCAGAGGCCCTTGCTAGGGGTCACCTGCTGGGAACAGTTGTTTCGCCTCTCTAAGCCACACTTCCTTGGTAGCAAGCAGGGGGTTGGGCTGGGAAGCTGGCGGTCTCTGACAGCTGTCAGCCTCTAGGCATTGGTGGCCCCCTGTGGGGAACTGTAGGCTGTGTACTCTCAGAGCAGCTCTCTAGGGCCCTCAGAGAGCAGTGGTTTATGGAGGGATCACTAGCTGAGCGCTACCTTGGCTGGTCAGGGAGTAGCAGGACAAGCCCTCCCTCAGTGGCCCCAGGGGGCCATGAGGATGGGAACACCCTGGGGCTTAGAACCAGGGCATACATTAACTTACAGGTCTGATGGCCACCTCATCACCACAGCCAAGAGCACCATGAGGGTACACCATGGATTGGGGCAAGTGGTAATTTTCATCAGGCCCTTCCTGCACCCATCCTCAACAGTGCAGGACAAGACTGTGTGGCACAGGTCCCCAGCCAACCAGCAACTCCACACCCTGGCCATGACTACTCAGTGTTGTCCCCACCCTCCAGGAAGTGCTGGCTGCCTTGTGGGGAGCCTGAGTGCACAGGACTGTGGGCAGGCCCCTGGCCATCCCCGTATTCCGGGCCATCTGAGCCTCCTGTCTCTCAGGCATGGGGCCGCAGCATGCTATGCAAACAGCTGAGCGACTCTACACACAAGGCTACATCAGCTACCCACGAACGGAGACCACCCATTACCCCGAGAACTTCGACCTGAAGGGCTCTCTACGGCAGCAGGCCAATCACCCCTACTGGGCTGACACAGTGAGTAGAGCCGGCCCGCCCACCCACACCTGTCACTAAGGCCTTGGGAATTCAGCACCTTGGCTGAATTCAAGACCAGTGGGAGGGCAACAGAGCCCAGACTCAACTCTCCTCTGTCTTCTCTCCCCAGGTGAAGCGGTTGTTAGCGGATGGTATCAATCGCCCACGGAAAGGCCATGATGCCGGTGACCACCCCCCCATCACCCCCATGAGGTCTGCTACAGAGGCTGAATTAGGTATCTCACTCACCCCGTGCCCCATGCTTCCAGGGAGGGGAGGGCAAGAAGCTACGGTAACAGTAGCAGGTTTCATTAGCAATGTGGGGGCCCCTTCCATCTCTGCCTGCCTGGCTATAGTGAAGGGGTCACCTGGAAGTTGAGCTCTGTCACTGTGTGCCCAGGACAGGAGTGAAAAGATGACAGCAGGTGCAGGTGGCCAGTCAGGGGAGGCGAATGGGCGGGTAGCTACAGGGGAACAGGGTGGGACTGAGGCAGAGATTGCTAGAGCTTGACAGTGGGGACACATCCTGCCTCCCCCAGGCCCAAGGTGGTGCTGGTGGCCTGCATGCTGGGTGAAGCAGTGATGAAGAGAGAGCACTGTGGGGGAGACAGGCTTGCCAACCAAGCTTGAAGCAATGGTGGCACATCACTAGACAGTAGAAGGACAGGCCAGTGCTTGCAGGTGCAGGAGGGTGTGCAGGAAGGTGGGAGCCGCATCTGTGAAGGAGCCGCCAAGACACAGGAGACTCGCATTCCTTCCTGTGCATCTTCCTCCTTATAGGGCTTTGCAGTATGTCCCGCGCTAAGGCCCTGTAAGCAGGGCTCTGCTGCTGGAGCGAGAGTGCTGGGGGTCTTCGGAGCCAGAGCCCCCTTCCCCCGGCTCTCAGGCACTTAGCCCTGGCCCGTTGCAGGGGGTGATGCATGGCGGCTGTATGAGTACATCACCAGGCACTTCATTGCTACGCTCAGCCACGACTGCAGGTACCTCCAGAGCAGCATCTCCTTCCGCATCGGGCCTGAGCTGTTCAGCTGCTCAGGGAAGACCATCATCTCACCAGGTAGGCCACAGGCTCTGCCCCTCCTCCCTGTCTCCTTGGACAAGTGGGCAACCTGCATCCTTTCCAGGATGAGAGGCCCGGATGGGGACCCTACGTGGTGGTGCCTTGTCTCCTCAGGCTTCACAGAGATCATGCCCTGGCAGAGTGTGCCCCTGGAGGAGAGCCTGCCCACCTGCCAGAGGGGTGATACCTTTCCCGTGGGCGAGGTGAAGATGCTGGAGAAGCAGACTAACCCACCTGACTACCTGACCGAGGCAGAGCTCATCACACTCATGGAGAAGCATGGCATCGGTGGGTGCCTCATGACCCAGCCCACACCCACCTCCAGGGCTGAGCTAGAGTCTACTTGCAAAGCTGCCCAGTGACCCCTGTGTGCCCTTCCATGGGCTGGCATCTGGGAACTGGTGACCCAGTGTTTGACCAGCCAAGCAGGCAGTCTACAGTAGGCAGCCCCTCATGATGTTCCATGTAAGGACCTGGCCTTCCCTCTGCAGCATGTGGCCAGCACATATTGACTGATGCCTTTGGGGCTGAGGGTTGGCCAAGGATGCCAAATGAGTCCTGAAAGTCAGATCAGCATCCTGTCACATCCACACAGCCAGCCTGGGTCTGTCCTGAAATCAGGTGACAGGAATGCCACATTCTCATGGAAGCCGCTTCCAAGTGAGGGAGCAGAGATGCCTGTCCCAGGAACAGAGCTTCCCACAGGATGACCAGAAAGTGACTATGAGCAGCCCAGGGGAGTTTGTCACCCTAGTCACCAGCGCACACAGCTCACAGGAGACATGGTTCGCCAATTCCTCAGGCCTGGGATCCTGAGCTATGTCTTCCATGCAGGGAGACCAACCTCAATGCTGGAGCCTTCTTCCCAGGCAGTGCTCATAACCCTGCATACTGCCCATTCCCTGTATCACTTTCCTAGCTGACAGGCTCTGGAGGACTATGGACCAGTAAGCTGCTATACCTGGCTCTGCTCATTGGTGGTCCTACGAGGGAGGAGCTTATTACTTCAGGCTGGAGTCTGTATGACCATGGTGGTCTCAGCAGAGAGCAGAACTCTGGGCCTGCCTCTCCCAGGGGCCAGGGCACCTGTGGGGTCCTGACATAGCAGCCCTCAGTCACTGTGAAGTGTGGGCACTGCTCCCCACGTCCTCTGTCCCTCCCTGTGATGGGACTTTATGGGTCTGGCAGCCATATGAGACAGTAGGCTGGACCCAGTCATCAAAACAAGCTTGTGACAGTGAAGAGGGCTCTTATGTTACCTTCTGAACAGGAAAGTGGCCAGGTGGCCCTATGACCAAGGCCCATGGGCATGTGTATGAAGGGCATGACCAGAGCTGCTGCCTGGGACTGTGACCAGAACAGAGGGTGGTCACAGCCACCCACAGCCCACCGCACTATGTGCAGACCCCAGCATCATGCTGAGAGCCTGGGACCTTCCCGCATAAGACTCTCACAGAGCTTCTTGGGGCTGGTGTGTCGCCACCCACCCTGGCAAGCCTGCTGCCATGAGCACAAGTCTCTATTCTACCCCTCAGACAGATGCTAACCACCATCAGAATGCCTCATCTTTCACTGTGACTGCTCCACCAAGAGGGCTTATCAGGGTGGGGGAAGCTAAATCCTCAGAACTGGGAACCTGCCCCAGGTCACGACCCTGCAGAGAGAGGAGGCAGGAGACAGGAATTGACCAAAACTGGCCAAGTGGGGATGGGACAACTCTGCAGTGAGCTTGCAGGCATCTGTGTTTGGGGGACTTGGCCGTAGCTCCAGAAAGGGGTGGATGCCACAGAGGAGGCCAAAGAGGTCACATTTACCAGGTATAGAATAAGCTCTGTGGCCTCAGCAGAGTTCTGAGCTCCTGTCCTATACTGCAAAGCAGGAGCATGTCCCATGCCAAGAGGGTCACCATGGGATCTCAAGGCAATACATGAAATGCACATGGCTGGTGCCTGGCATAGTGCAGGGGGCACTTAGGGCACAGCCCTTTGTCCTGTGGGTGGCTAGAACCAGTGAGGGAGGGGCTGAGCGCCAGGGCCTGTGACAGATGGGGGTGAGGCTGCAGTACAGTCCCATGGGACATGTCTGCGGGCAGGTGAGGATACCAGGACCTTGTGCATTGCAGGCACAGATGCCAGCATCCCTGTGCACATCAACAACATCTGCCAGCGCAACTACGTGACTGTGGAGACTGGGCGCCGGCTTAAGCCCACCAACTTGGGCATCGTCCTGGTGCACGGCTACTATAAGATCGGTGAGGCCCCTAGTCCCACCCCGGGGCCGCCTAGGCTCCCTGGCTTCTCCCTGGGCAGGGCATTGACTCTGCCGCCCCTCCAAACAGCCTGGTCCTACAGGGAGCTCTCAGTCCCACTGCAGCGGTACTGCCCCCAGACCTGCCCAGGGCAGAAGCTCAGGAATGTCTGAAGGATAACAGACAGGTGTGGAGTCACCAAAAGGGGAGACCAGGGACTCTTTCCTGCAGACCAGCTCCTGGCCAAGCCTGGGGTCCTTGCTAAGGTGCTTGTCAGCTCTGTCTCCTGGAGGTCCCCCAAGGACCAGTGGGAGAGGGAGGAGCACACCTGTGACATGGTCCCAGATACAGGATGTCCTTAGCCTCTACACAGTTTCCAGGTGGGAAATGGGGGATGTCTTGGGGCACAGGAGCCTGCCTGCTACCATGGAATACTGTTGCCCAGGGAGAGGCCAGGAAGACTAGTCTGAGCTGGAGGGTGGGCAGGGCCCTGGGACAAGTGCTCACAGCAGCATCCATTCTGGTCACCCATAGATGCTGAGCTGGTGCTCCCCACCATCCGCAGCGCAGTAGAGAAGCAGCTGAACCTGATTGCCCAGGGCAAGGCCGACTACCGCCAGGTCCTGGGCCATACCTTGGATGTGTTCAAAAGGAAATTCCACTACTTCGTTGACTCCATTGCTGGTGAGGTCTGCCTCTTCCCTGCCCCTCGCCGGAGGACACTGTCAGGGCAGCAGCACACAGGGACTGGGGGCTCCCACGTGGGACCAGCTCCCAGACCTGGGCTCCAAGCTTCCATGGGCCAGGGTAGCATTGCTTTCTCACCAGGCTCCTGTCTGGACATAAGTAGGTGTGTTACTACCACACGTGTGGCAGGAACATGAGCCTCTGGCCAGCAGGGCTGCTGCCTGCCTCCCATCGCTAACAATGAAACACCTCACCTGTAGGGGCATGGTCACACTCAGCCACTTGACCACCTAGTCATACCAAGCCATCTTCCATAGGAGCGGGCTGCTGGGGGTCCTCTTGGGAGACCAGGGGGATAACTCCTGCACTCTGCTTGCTCTCAGGCATGGACGAGTTGATGGAGGTATCCTTTTCACCCCTGGCGGCCACAGGCAAGCCCCTCTCACGCTGTGGGAAGTGCCACCGGTTCATGAAGTACATCCAGGTAGGTGGAGGAAGGGCTGTGACTGTCAGGCATGCAGCGCCCTGTGCACTAGCTCAGACAGGTCCTGCTACCTCTGTAGCCCTCTGCTTTGTCGTCAGTCATACAAGAATAACATTGTGTCCTGGTTGTCACAGAAGAATGACAGGCATAAAGCAGCCTTGCCAACAAATATCCAGTGCCCCATGACCCCAGGACCTAGCCATGAGGCCATGTAAACATTTAGCATTCATTTCTCCCCAGTACCATGCCATTACTGTCATGGGTGCTAACATCCATGCAGGGATTTCAGAAGTGGGGCTGGGGCCTGAGACTCTGGCCTGATAGGGTGGGCCTTGTCTACCAGCATGTATTACAGACTCTACATTGTGTATGATGTGTTCTGTGTGATGTGTTATGGGTCATGTCTTACGAAGGGATGTAAGGGCAAGCTGGAGGCCACAGTGGCCTTTACACCCTGCCCTGGCATTACTGCAGGCCAAGCCGAGCCGCCTGCACTGCTCCCACTGCGATGAGACCTACACACTCCCCCAGAATGGCACCATCAAGCTCTACAAGGAGCTCCGGTGCCCGCTGGATGATTTTGAGCTGGTCCTGTGGTCATCAGGCTCTCGGGGCAAGAGCTATCCGCTGTGCCCCTACTGCTATAACCACCCACCCTTTCGGGACATGAAGAAAGGTGAGTGCTTCAACCCAAGCCCCGGCTACTCCTGTTCCCTCCTGGCTGCCCTTCTGTCCCCATTGAGTATCTGCGCTCTCTGTTTAGCACTGGCCCCAGCCTGATACAGGGCTGGACTCCAAGGGACCCCTCACCCCAGCCCTCCCCATGCTCACTGACTCTTAAGATGGGAGACCCCACAATAACTCAGGCCTCAGCTGGCTGGTACCACTCTCTACCCAGATCAGGATTGGGCAGCAACCCTAGTCCACTCTCAGGATTGGGCAGTGGTGTGCTATGCTCCTTCTTAGACTGGGATGAGTGAGAGGATGTAGGGGGCCCACAAGGCGAGTAGTGCACCCTCATTCAGCATCCCCTGCTGTCCTCCATCATCATCCTCATTGCTGGAAAAAGGCGAGCATGTGCCCGGGGAAGGCAGAAAGCACTGAGCCAGGAGCCTGAGGGGCCTAGTGCTTCCCCACAACTGTGCTAGCTCATTGGCGCCCTGCACAGCCTCTCAGGGTGTCTTCATCCCATACTGCAGACCAGGAGCCAGTGGGAGTGAGGCATTTGTCCACAGCTTCCAGAGCAGTTCGTGGTCCCTGGGGCCCATTGACGTGAGAGCCACATGGTGTTGCCAGTGACCAGCTGGAACCCACCAGACAGGTGTTAGCCTGGGGGCCTTGCCCATTAAGGAGGTTTTAGATAAGCAGAGAACAGAGCACTTGTAGCTGGGGTCATCGGGAGCCCAGGGCCAGGTGACCAAGGGCATCCCCAAGAGCAAAGCCAAAAGGATCAGGTGCAGCTGGGGTAAGGGATCTGGGAGCCTGAGGCCTAGGGAGCAGGTCCGGGGGCTGCGGGGGTAGCAGGCACAGCAGCCTCACAGACTGGCCCCCCACAGGCATGGGCTGCAATGAGTGCACACACCCCTCCTGCCAGCACTCGCTGAGCATGCTGGGCATCGGCCAGTGTGTGGAATGTGAGAGCGGGGTGCTGGTGCTGGATCCCACCTCAGGCCCCAAGTGGAAAGTAGCCTGCAACAAGTGCAACGTGGTGGCTCACTGCTTCGAGAACGCCCATCGCGTGCGGGTGGCCGCTGACACCTGTGCCATCTGCGAGGCTGCCTTGCTCGATGTGGACTTCAACAAAGCCAAGTCCCCACTCCCGGGCGATGAGACCCAGCACATGGGCTGCGTCTTCTGTGACCCCATCTTCCAGGAGCTGGTAGAGCTGAGGCATGCAGCCTCCTGCCACCCTATGCACCGTGGTGGGCCTGGAAGGAGGCAGGGTCGAGGGCGGGGCCGGGCCCGGAGACCCCCAGGGAAGCCCAACCCCAGGCGGCCCAAGGACAAGATGTCAGCCCTGGCTGCCTACTTTGTATGATGGCCTGTCACCCTTCACCCAGGCTTCCATAGGGGGTGGACGCCTTGTAATGGGCCACTGAAACCATTAAAACACATTTTGTCTTCTCCAGAGCAAGAAGTTTGGGGCTTTTGCTGGTACAGCAACACTGGAAGGTTACCACTGCCCCTGCCATCTGTGGGACTCCCTCCTCCCCTTTCTGCACATCCCCTCCCCATCTCTCCCTTGGCCTGCTCCTTACTCTTCCCATGCCCTGGAAGTGCTGCAGGGAGGCTACCAGGTCTAGAACCCTGGGGAGTAGACCCAACCCACAGCTTATGCCCCCTTTCTGTCTCATGGGCTAACGGTGGCTGTGCACAAGGTCCTGGTGCCGTAAGGAGAGCAGCCTCAGCAGTCCATTGCGGCAGCAGGAGAGGGACCTGGTGGAGCAGGCAGAGCTGGGGGATGGCATCTCCATCTGGCTTAGTGAGCCCCCTTGGCCTTGGCCCAGGGCCACCCTACTGACCCCACACTTGTACGCTCCCTGCTTCCAACTCCCAGCTCAGGGGCTGGAGCAGGCTGGGCATGTGGTGCCTGTGGGCTTCCCTGGCAGCTCCCCCGAGACTGCTGCAATTCCTGTTCTCACAATAAGCCCTTATTGTCTCATACAGAGGCGACTGGGCACTCCAGTGAACCCTTTTGCGTGCCAGATTTAGAAAATACCCCGTAAGCCCAAGTGCCCTGTGATGGCAGTGCACAGGCTGCCCTGTGATGGCAGTGCACAGTGCCTTCCTGTGCTCCCCACTCCAGCTGCCGAGGGGGCACCTGTGTTGGATTGGTGTGTATTGGAAACTTCCTCCATCCTCCACCTGTGCCTCCAACGTGTAGGCAGGAGCTCAGCAAAACAGCTCTCCATATTTCAGTGGATGTATGTTCAAGGGGCAGGTCCAAAATGTTTCGGACACAGACCCTCCTCCTGAATAGTAGATTCACAGTTCACAATAGGCACACGAAGCCCTGAGGAGAGCCTCTGTAAAGAAGCCCAGAGCTCACATGTTCTGTTCCTGGATCCCCTCCTGACATGTCAACACTGGAGCTCCCCAGAACGCAGTTTGGGAAACCACTCTATAAGTTGAACAAAGACATGCAGTGAGATAGGTGTGTCACTTTGGGGGACCAACCCAGGAGGCAGACCATGTGGGAAGCTATGCATCTGGTCCTGGGATGTGTCTTGGTACAAGCTTCAGGAAAGAGGCCACTCAAGGTTTCTTGGCCCCCTCCCCAGCCACTCCAGTCAGATTCTGGGGCCCTAACAAGACTACGTCTGTTGGTGGCTAGGGTCCCTGGCACAGGGCTATGACTGTGCTTCCAGCTACATGTCCCAGTGACATAGTGAGTGGACATGCAGCCTTCTCTGCAGGAGGATGACCCGGCCCCCTTATCCTCCAGGATACTTTCAGGGAGGCAGTCCCATTACAGGGCTGGCCTAGGCTTGGAGGAATGGACACTGCCTCAAGTCTAGCCCACCCATCCCTTCCTTACCAGGATCCTACACTGAGATTACAGCCACGAGCGAGTGTTCATTTTTTTGTTTGTTTTTAATTTTTTGTAGAGATAGGGTCTCACTATGTTGCCCTGGTTCAGGCTGATCTCAAACTCCTGGCCTCAAATGATCTTCCTGCTTCAGCCTCCCAAAGTACTGGCATTGCAAGTGTGAGTCACCGCACCCAGCATAAAGTGTTTTTTTCTCTGCAGTTGTCCCTTACGCGTGAATCTCACTCAAGGTCCTTGGCTTTCAAAGCTGCATTCTGCACTCCAGATCACTTACCTTATACCACCCAGTAGCATCCAGCTCCTCTGTTATTGCTGACCTGGTCTTGGGCGCAGTGAGGACAAAGGACAGGCATTCTGAGCAGCCATGCTCCGTGGGACTGCACTCTGCCCTGGAGGCTGTGAGGTCATAGACTGTGGATGCCAGAGTGCTCCCAGCTTTGCCCACCCCACCAGGGATGTGGCTTTGGCCAGAGAAGCAGGGAAGTGTGGCCACAGTGGCAGGTTGGAGTGGGTGATATTGAGAGATTCCTTCACAAGGGTAGAGGCCGGGAGCCAGGAGCTGAGGCGTGATGGAATGCAGACAGACAGCAAGGCTTTGACAGAGCCCCAGGGCACAAGTATTCTCAGGCACAGCCAGGGCAGGCTCTCAGTGCCTCACTTAGTTTTCATCTCTAGGCCACGGACCTCAAATGGAATCTGATATGGGCTCCACTGAGGATATGTATCAGTTCTTACTGGCACTGCACTTTACAGTGTGGGAGGGCCTGCTCTATGCCCCAGCTCACCTGTGCTACAGTTCCCAAACTCTACCCCACAGCCACTCTGATGTATGTAGTCCAGGCATGCTTTGAGAAACACTGGCTCAGGGTCTCACGACAACCTATGAGATAGATTGGTTGCTACTGTTCCCATTTTTCTGGTTTAAAAAAAACAGGTTCAGGTGAGCTAAGGAATATACCCAAAGTTAGAAGAAAAAGCCTCAAGCTTTGCCAGGGGTCAACACCCTGACAGGGATCTAGAATAGGTGAGCAGGAGAAACCCCCGCCAGCCCTACTTTCTCTGCCCTGACGCCCTCTGCCTGGCAAATCCCATTCCAGTGGGCTTCCTTTCAGCTTGCCCAGTTGCTAGTTCTCCAGGCTCCTGGCCTTGCCCAAGGCCTCCTGTTAATGAAGCAGCCCAGAGACAATTAACTCCTGGGAAGGACACAGGTCAGTGTGTAGATCCGAAGGTCAGGTGGACAGAGTTGCAGCAGGACTTTTGAGGGCCTACCCCTCCATTAAAAAAACTGGTTTTTTTGCTAGGCTCGGTGGCTCAGCCTGTAATCCCGTGCTTTGGAAGCCTTAGGTGAGTGGATTGCCTGAGCCCGTGGGTTCGAGACCCGCCTGGGCAACTTGGCGAGACCTCATCTCTACAATAAATCAAAAAAAAACTAGCCGGGCGTGGTAGTGCGCGCCTATAGTTCCAGCTACTTGGAAAGCTGAGGCGGAAGGATTGCCGGAGCCCAGCAGGTCAAGGCTGCGGTGGCCAGGAGCGGCCACAGCACTCCAGTCTGGACGATGGAGTGAGACTCCAACTCAAAAAATAAAAACTTTTTTAAAAATTATGCTTTATGGCCGGGCTCGGTGGCTCAGCCTATAATCCTGTGCTTTGGGAGGCTGAGGTGAGTGAATTGCCTGAGCCCGCGGGCTCGAGACCTGCTTGGGCAACTTGGCGAGACCTCATCTCTACAATAAATCAAAAATTAGCCAGATGTAGCACACACCTGTAGTTCCGGCTACTTGGAAGGCTGAGGCAGAAGGATTGCCAGAGCCCAGCAGGTCGAGGTGGCAGTGGCCAGGAGCGGCTGCTGCACTCCAATCTGGGTGACAGAGTGAGACTCCAACTTAAAAAAAAAAATTATGCTTTACAACTGCATTGGTATAAAGATGAATCTACTAATATATTAAAACATGTTCTTTGACTTAAAAGTTTATTTCTTCTGGCTTTAAAATATTTTCTTTCTTTTTTTTCTTTTTAAAGACAGTTTTGCTCTGTCGCCCAGGCTGAAGTGCAGTGGCACAATCAGCCTCCCAAGTAGCTGAGACTACAGATGTATGCCATCACTCCCAGCTAATTTTTATTTTTTATTTTATTTTTTTGTAGCTGTGGGGGGGAGGGTCTTGCTATGTTGTCCAGGCTAGTCTCGAACTTCTGGCCTCAAGTGATTCCTTCCACCTCGGCCTCCCAAAGTGCTGGAATTACAAGTGTGAGCCAGCGCACCTGGCCTAAAAGAAAATAATGTTCATGAGCCTCTGTGGTGGCAGAAAAATGGCCCCCCAAAGATGCCTATGTCCTAATCTCCAGAAGCTGTGCCCATGTTAGACTACGTGGCAAAGGGGAATTAAGGTTGCTCATTCACTGCCTTTCAAATGGGGATGTTATCCTGAATTATCTGGCTGTGCTCCGTGTCATTGAAAGTGTCTTTAGACGCAACAGAGAAGCAAAGGAGGAAACCACACAGAGGGATGGCAGTGTGAGGAGGGCTCGACTGGTTGCTGGCTTTGAAGAAGGGGAAAAAGGGGTCACGAGCCAACGCCTGCCGCCGTCTTTAGAAGCCAGAAAAGCCAAAGGAACAGTTTCTTCCCCTCGTGGCCTCAGAAGAGACACACCCTGCTGACCCCTGGGTCTTAGTCAATTGAGACCTTGAGGGCTCGTGACCTCCAGAGCTGTAAGATAATAACTGTTTTGTCTAAGCCTCTGCTTTTGGGGAAACTGACAGCCCTAAAGGTACACCTCCTGCCCTGATGGGTAGCCGGCCTGGGCATCCTAAGTTTGCATCCCCTTTCTGCCACTCACCAGCTGTTGACGGCGCAAGTTGCTTGATTCTGGGCACTGCGAGTTTGGGATTCTTTCCCCATCTATCTGCCCACCCGAGGCTGGAGAAGAGAAGCAACTCGCCAGTGGGTGGCGCGGCCCTGGAACTTGGATGGGTTCTGCAGCTAAAGCTAAAGGGCCACGATCAAGCACCGTGAGGCCATCAGGGGGCAGCAGAGGCCGACCCCACTAGTCCGGAGGCCCCACTGCGCCTGCGCGGCTGCCGGGACGGGAAGTGGGCGGGGCCGGCCGGGAGCGGCTTTCGGGGCGCTGAGCGTGGCACTGCTGGTGAGGCCTGCGGGGACCTGAGGTGAGGAAGCCGGCACGTGACCGGGAAGCCGACGGGGCTGGGGTGAGGGTCAGGTGGGGGGACCTGAGGCGCACGAGGTGAAATGGGGCTGAGGGTCCAGAGGGGCGGTGTTGGGGGCTGGGAGGCGAGGAGGCCGAGACTCCGCGCAGATGGAACCCGAGGGTGCGAGTGGGACGGCATGTGGGTGGGGCGCTGCGACCCGGGGGACCCGAGGGAGGAATAGGGGCTGGGAGCCAGGGGCGCAGAGCTGGGGGTCCGTCGGCCCGCGGGGGTGTGCCCGAGCCCAGAGCCTGGTGGGGACCCGGTGCAAGAGGCAGTTTGGGGAGCTAAGGGGTGATGCGCCCCTGCTTTTCGGGATCTAGTCCCTCCGCATCCGCCAGGAGCATCTGGGTCGGGCCCACCACCCTGACTCCTACC